TCCTCCTCCTCCTCCTCCTCCTCCTCCTCCTCCTCCTCCTCCTCCTCCTCCTCCTCCTCCTCCTCCTCCTCCTCCTCCTCCTCCTCCTTCACCTGGATGTCATCTACCCAATGAGTCACCTGACAACGCCATCCAACACAACACGATCATCGCTTTGGGTTAAAGCAAGTAAACCAAACAACGAAATGCCACATTTCTGCAACCTGGCAGTCAGCGGAAACAGAACTTCTACCTCATGGTACAAATCGAGTCGCGAAAAGCCTCAAGACATGTAACCACTTTTTCGACTACGCGCTGCCTTCAACCGGACTCGGCAGTCCATCGTGCTGCTGCTCACCTTGGCTGCCCCAGCAAAAATCCCAACCTCGGTTTCCAAACCAGCAGATGACATCGAACCTGCGTACAACATGAAACGGATTGCAACAAGCAAGGCACCGTGGTTCCGAATGTGTGGAGGTTTGGTAAAGAGGTCATGTAGGTGACACGACAGAACCAGTTGATTTGTTGGTTCTCGGCCCCGTTCTCATCTGGAACCTTCCTGCCGCTGCTGCCGCCACCGGGCATCCTCTTGAACGGGGTGATAAAACAGCAGGCGCAATTGGTGGTGCAAGGGCGCCGTTAGCTCGTACCAACTTTGCAAAACCCGCGGACAAACCTTAGTGATCGTTTTCCTTTCAGATCCGCCCAGCGGAAAAACAAACGTGAGATGGATATTTTGGAAAAAAGAAACGATTGCTGTGTAGACAACCTCGGAATGGTCGCAGAGGCGTGTGCACGGAAAAAGGAAAATCGATATTGAGGGGCGTGAAACTGCGGGAGGCTGTCTGAGGGGCTATCTGCATGTGTGCAAGCGTTAAAAAGGCAGGAAACTGGAGCCTACTTCACCAACGAGGCACCAAACTACAACCCAATACTTGTGCCCAACAGGCAGTAATTTCCCCGCGCTGTAACAAGTTCTTGCCGACTCAACCCATGTCCAGTGCGTCGAGGTAGCAGGGCATGTCTGCCGAACTTGTTGTCGGGAAGCATGCATTCCCCCGGAACAGAGAGAGGCGTCATTCTTAACCCGGCTTGCCGATGATGTCTATGTTAGTACCATAATATGTTTGAGGGAGAGACAAGGACAAATGAGGGGGTCGGGGCATGCCAGCGAAATATCGGCGAGAGGGTGTGACCTATACTATAACACAGCAGTGCTCCTGTTACCAGACTGTGGACAAGAGGAGAGCAGCGGCTGGATGCGTGACCACGCATACACATGTGCGTGGGTTGGTTGCGGTGGATTGTTGCTTATCGCAAAGGGAGACAGAGCATCAGCAGAGCATGCATGCATGCGATAGACACACCCATAGAGAGGAGGCTGGTCTCTCCACCCGGTGAGAACAAGGAGATACATATATGAGCGACTCCAATGCCGGTGTGGCATGTATTTCCAGGTGTGGTATGCGTTTTGTGCCGGGGTGCAACAACAATACAACAAGCAGCAGAGCAGCAGACAGAGGAGTTTTTGAGGTGAGAGCACACACACCCTGCTTGAAACACCAACCGATGTATGTCCAGCTCTACGGTCGTGCTGCTGCACTTCTGTACACTGTGCGAATGGGTTATTTCTGACTCCAAGGTTGCTGCTGCAGTTATGGTCGTCGTTGCTGCTTCGACTGGTGCTTTGCTGCTGGTGACGGTAGGTTGGCCGCCGCTGCGGTCCTAGAGATTGTTACAAACATTGGTAAAATTTACCGGAGCAGTAGTCTAGACTATCTGTGGTAGGTTGGCCCCCGTCCCCCTGGGTAAGGGTAATTTTACACGAACGGTCACCCCCCCTGGATTATGAGCACTCAAAGGTGTACCGCAGTAGACTAATCTACATACCATGCACCGATGGCACAGTACCCTAACGCTGCTGTTTCCCAGACGAAGGGCGGAACAGTAATAACTCACAAACAAAACAAAACCTTTAGTCCGCTACTCCAACGCCTAATGTGCAGGCCGAAGACCAAGACTCGCTATTTTTCATGGTCCGCCATAGAGCCGAGAAGCAGGCCGGGAAAACTAGTCGGCTCTTTTCGGCGCTGCGCCGAAAATCGCACAAAAACGGCGCAAGAAAAATGTTTTTGGGATATTTGCGTCAATTCGGCGCATAGCCGCCGACGCAATTTATGCCGGCCGCCGAACAAAAAAAGAAATCCCGCCGTACTTTCGGCGCACAAACCTGCCGGGCCCCCGCAACAATTCAAAATTTCCACCATCCAACCATCACCCCTGCTACCAGACAGACCAGAACAGACCAGACTGCTGCTGCCGTGGTGTCTTGTGTCTTGGTGTGCTGTCTTACTGGTCTCCATCTGGTCCATTGGTCCAAAATGTTTCCCAGACGAGGGTTGCAGCCAATACGAAAACTGCTGTGACGCCAGCAGATGGAAGAGTGGCGTAGATAGACTGCTTGCTACTGCTAGCTACTAGAGATATTAAAACTCGAAAAAATGCATGAAACTAGTGGAAGAGCCCGAAAAGTGGATGAATCGAGTTTTATATCGGAGGGGACTTTTGGGCAAAAATGCATGAATCGTGAGCAAAAATATGTTGGGGGCTCCAGAGCCCCAAGTATATATTTGTGTTCCGAGACGAACAGACTGCTCTCTCGATCTACCTCTCTCCCTCTCCTCTCTCCTCATTTTTGCAGCAAACATCACCGCCGTCACAACAGCAAAGACACAACACACAGTCATAACAACGCCGCCACCACCGCCAGCTCCCAACCAAGCTTTCGGGCACTGCCCGGACGATTTTTTGTTGTGCTGCATGCGTATCAACGCGTACGTGAGGTTGCTGCATGCTGCTGCACTCTCTCTTTTTCCCTCTGCCCTCCTCTCTCGTCGTGCTCCTTTTTCTTTCTCGCTTTCTCTGGTGCCGCCATCGCACGCAAGCACAGACGAATTAACGAACAGACACAGTTCCACAAGGCTCGCCGCGTAGCTTATGGGCTGCCCCGTTATTTTTGTAGGGGGGAGGACGGCCCTTCCTAGTTGACACGGCGGGGAGGCTTTGATGCACAGGGTGTGCGTATATGCCTGTCTGCCTGTCTTTTCTAACCTCTCTCTCGTTTTCTCTTTGGCACAAAAAAAAGAGAAGAAGGACCAACGGTTTGTTATCATCAACGTGCCCGAGTGCCAACATACAGAGTGTCAGCTAGCGTGGGTTGGGGGCGCTCTTGGCAGAGACGAACGCGCCTTGTCCGCTGTTCGTTCACTACGTAAGGGTGTGCATATTCGCATCACCTTGAAAAAACGCATTCTGATTTCGCTTGCGGCTTGTTTCCTGGTTGATCAAATTTGGCTGGATCACAACGGCAGCCCACCTGTCCAAACACCAGCTGTCCGAGGATGTATTGGCGCAGGCTAACAGTCCTGTGTTTTTGTCCTGTGAAGATCTATTCTCGATTTTTATATCACGAGAGTTTTTCACCAAAAATGTACAAAGCAGCGAAAGGCCCAAAAAAGTCCCGCCGGTCCATGAATCAAGTTTTAAACAACTCTACTGGAGGAAAGATATGCAGCCTGTAGCCTGTAGCCTCCAGTTTGGTAAGCGCTGTGCCTATAGCCTCCAGTCAGTTTGGTAAGCGCTGTGCTGCACAACGGGGGGGTTCCCGTCGTTCGCAAAAATATGAAAAAAAAATATCTCTCGCTCTTTTACACTGTTCGAAGTATTTAATTTTGGTGTGCTGATTTGCTTCTTTCTGTAAAATACAGATGTAACATCTCAAATTTACACGGGTTTATATGTATATTTGTTTTTGCACATTGAAACGTCAGCTGGTAGCTGGTAGGGCTCTTGCGTCGAATATGCAGAGGCGCACTGGCCGGCACCTACTGCTACCTACGTAGTTAACAAGCTACATACAGTACAGCATTATTAGTAACGACCTAGCACGGAATATAGATGAAGGTGACTTCAAACTTAGCGCCAGAAAGTGACGAAATGACGTATACTACCCAAAAAATTCCCCTACCGATGCCTCTCCGGGGGGGGCCTCCGACGGCTCCTGCGGAGGACGCGCCGAACGAGTCTGCGCTACTTTTCCCGCCCTGCCGAGAGATCAGCCACGCGTTTCTTTTCTTAAGTTTTACAGCAGTATACTACATACATACATAGTCTACTGCAGAGAGGTTGGGTACGGAAGTCTGTGGGACGTCCGTGTCAGTTGGACCGATACGAATGCTTTAAGGTGCTCAGAGGGGTATTCACGTGAAGACAACAGCCATCAACAGCAACGTATGCATGAGGGTGGGCCTCTCTCACTTGCAAATTCGATCGCCAACTAGTCTACAGCAGTACTCTTCAGGCGCTATACTTTAGACAAACTAACCCTAACCTCTGCTGCAGCCCGACACTTCCAGACAGTTACACAGGACTGCGACTCACCAACAAGGGGGAGAGGAAGATGCGTTCGTGGGGGGATCCCGACTGCTGCTCCTCGATCTGCCGGAGACCACCACAGCAGTATCCCGACTTTACAGCCAGCGTGTACACGTGAGAGAGAGAGGCTTTTCGCTGATCCGTGACGAGGGTGCGTGCCTGCTGCTGTAGCTCCTGCACCAGAGGAACTACGAATGCGACACCGATCAAACGATCTGAGGGCAAACGTTCCCTCTTGCGGAAGCTATGCTCTCTGTGTGAAGTGCTGTGGCGAAGTCCCTCTCGACAGGGCTGCGGGGAAGGGGCAGAGGGAGAGATAGAACTTCCTGGCTGCCGGCCAAAAGGCGGCAGAGAAAGCCGGAGGGGAAACGCCTTTTCTCATTTCTTGGATGCTGGCAGGAACAACAGTGCCTCGCACGTCCAGTGGATCTCATGAAGAGGTGCGAGGCGCGCGCACCACCGTGCCAACCCAAAGGCCCTAGTTGGAACGAAATTCGGGCTTTGGCGATGGACTGGTCGTTTGTCTGGTGAACTACGGTACGGTAGACTAACCTATTTTCTGCGCCTGTGGACAATTTGACTCCCTCAAAAGCATGGTGTCCACAAACTTTCAAACTTTCATCCGGGGGCCAACAGACAGAGTCAAACACGTACCAACACATACCAAGGCTCGGCAGAGCATATCGTGGAGACCTCTTTCCTTGTGCAAGGCCCAGAGCGATGGAGAGGTTGCACTACATTCTCCTTGTTCTACATATCGTAGGCAATGCAGCCTTCTGATGGTGACTACAGCAGGTAGAAATGTGATGCCGTGCTCCTGCTTGGATCATGTAAGCCTGCCAAAAGCTACCTCCTTTTTGTCGTCTCGACTTCCCGCTCTCCCTCGCCCTGCCCTGCTGTAGAACTCCTGCTAGGGCATTGGTTTGAGCATCGGCTCTCGTTGGTTGCGCCATTGTCTGTTTCATGTGTCAGGCGAGAAAGCATCACGCGAGAGCCTTCGCCCATCCGCTCCATAACCTAACCTCTTTCTTGTAATGTTAATGTTCTGTCTCCGTTTCACGAGAATCATTTGAGGTGATTGTTGGATTTGGGTGAGGCCTCCTGCGCTCCTGCGCCGGTCTGTGGTCCCGCAGATCCGCCCGCGGGCCGCCGTATCCTATTCTTGCTATGGTATTCGGAGGTAATCATGTTGATGGTGCGTGACCATGGTTATTCAGCGTTGTCAGAACTTGTGTTGCGTCTACAGCATGGTGCAGGTTTTATTCCGAGCCAAGTTTCCTTCTGGTCAGTGCTGCGCTTGGTGTGGTTGTGTGAGATTCCGGCTGCATGGCGTGTACATGCAAGGCGCTACGAGAGCATGTCAAGGAGAACGAAGGATTGAAAGCAGCAGCAACTTGCATCTTGTCCCACACAGTTCCGTGAAGAGGTACAAATCACGTTACGGTGCGAACTGGCGTTTGATCCGGTTAACAAGGGCTGACCTTACCTTGGGACATAATCGGTGTGTGTGTTTGCTACGCCAACAATAAAATCCGTTGGTGGAATATTGAGACTTTTACAACATCCAACTTGACGTTGTAGTCAGTCTAACGGCCGTGTACGGAGCGAGGAGCTGAGCGAACATGTGGCATCAACACGCGATAGCGTTGACCGGCAGCACATTGCGATCCATAGTCCGCAAAGGACAACATGTTTCCAATTCCGCTCGACGCCAAAATGTTTCGATTGAAATCGAACTGAATCTGAATCGAGCCCTCTGCTGTGACCGCCACACCAAACACAGCACACTTCAAGGTGACAACAAACATGCGTATTTCTATTAGTCCGAGTAAGCAACACTCCCAGAAAAAACAATCTAAGAGGCGCTCCCGCCCACCCAACGCGCTGGAAACATATCCAGGAGCGAACCATCTAGTCGTGGTACTCTAGCCGCTTGCCCATCTCCCCCAGAAGTCTTCTTCGAAGCATCGTCGTCGTCGCAGAGACCGTTGGGTGGAGGACATAACGTCAACCTACACAAGACCACTCGCTGTATGGCCAGTGGCTGTGTGCAATACTTTCAGCAGAAAAAAAGAAATTCCCCCCTCCTCCCCCCTCGCCGCCAGAGTTGATGCAAAACAATACGCTACAGGGCTGGGTTTGTGCCGGGTGCGGACATGCACGTGCGCCCGCGCCCAATGCATATCACGGGGGTTCAAAAATATAGAAACAAGTAGTCATGAAAACAACCAATATATGAACATACTGCCGTAGAACACTACTATATACATCGCCATGCCGCTACACGTGCGTCCCAATCGAGGGCTCATCCATGTGTTCTATCGCGGATCTGTGCTGCCTCCCTCTCCCTGAGGCATCCCAATACCCAGGGGACCCCGCCGAATCAGACCCGGATGACCCTCCTCCTCCTCCTCCGCCGCCTCCGCCCGCGGGAGACGACGGGGGGCGTCGTCTGGGAGAGGCGGACCCCCCCCTGCTGCTGGACATTTCGTTGCTGCGCCCCCCCCCGTCTCTGGTGGAAGAGGTGACAGAAGAGGAAGCTTGTCGAGGGACATACGCATCGACTCCTGTTCCCGCGCCTCCCTGGCGAGCTCTGCCTGGATGTCCTGCATCGATCCTCCGAACACAGGTTTCAGGAACCGGGAGTCCGCCTGATGAGTAAGTTGAGCGTTGCACAAACACATACGCCCAGGAACAACAACAACAAAACAAAAAGAGCGAATGACAAAAAGCGAGATGACCAAAAACGAGTGGGACGTGAAACATTGCTGTTCGTGATTGCCTCGTCGAGAGCTATTTAAAGGCTCATGACGGCAGCTGCTTCTATCTCTTTTTTGAGGAAATGTCATAGTTTTGGCATAGTGTCGGTCCAAAACACCTCGAAAATACCCCCCGAAAACACATTTCTGGCACAGATTTGGTCCACAACACCTCGGACGTACCCCCAAAGCACAAAACTGCCCGTCGGGAGGGCCGAAATTCTCCCGCACGCACAACCATCGTTCTCTGCGCCCTACAGAACCACCGCAGTTGTGGCCAGCAACCCCGATCAGAAAACACTCCATCAACGGGAGATGGAAGGTGTATCATATTGTAAAACCGCCGACCATTTTTTGTTTTTTCCGTGCCAGGGTTTGCAAGACAGCCAGCCAAAGGCCTCGTTTAAGCCCCCGTGTGGCATGTTCCATGTTCTTGCATGGGAAGCAGCGGCATGGGCATCATCAGGGGCTCATGCGCACGCGCGCGCGTGTCTCTTCTTGTTGCGTACGTGAAACCATAATTGTTTCATGGTTCGTGTGCGTATTTTCCCCGTGCAGCGGCGGCAAGACCAAAACCAAACGTGTACTAGTAGTTAGTATATGCCACTGTATTTGGAGAAACAATAAAAAAGTCACTTACTCAGCGGAACAAAACAACGGGGGGGGGGCGAGGGGGGGGTGTACTCATAGTCGTGCATGCCGTAGTCGCTAGACCATTGACCTCGCATCCCTGCAAAACCGGGATGGAGGGCGCCGGGTTCTCACCGGACCAGGCTCTCACACCACCAAGCGCGATTCACCGTGAGGTATTCGGCGAGTCGGATGGAGGGTGCGCTGCATCATGCTAAGGGTGTTCGGCATCTTGTGCTTGCATACGGATGACAGCTGCGAATGACTTAATTTATTTTCTGGTGCTTTCACTTCCAGAGACAGTTATGAGCACTGTGTGTAACTGCCTCGAGGGTGCTTGACCAGTTGAACAGTTGAACACAACGTGGTGCGATCATCCCCTACGCGCGGAGTGAGGGTTCTCGACCCCGCACAACATAACCTACTCGACCACCATCATGGTTACCGCAAACAAAAAGGGGGGGGGGGTAACCTGGTGGTCGAGCTCACGAAAGTGATCAACTTGATTATTACGGCCAAGTTCTTAGATTTGGATTTGTTGAGGCCCATGTTCTGAAGTGGTGACGCGTTCTGTTTCAGGAATCGACAAGAAAAACCACCCGAGCACAACGAACGTGTAACTTGGTGTTGAAGGGAAAACTAGATGTTTTCGGAGCATGAACCGTACCACAAACAACGGAATGACAAAAGAGTTTTGCAATAGTGCCCGTCTATGCTATGAATAAATAACAGCCCAGGAGTAGCCCCGGCCTCAACTGAAGCCCTGCCTTTTTCTTTTTGTTTCCCGGGGAGGACTTATATGTGTAGGGTAGGAAGGGTGGTGGATGGAGAAGGAGAAGGATAAGCAGAGCGATTTTGTTGACAGAATGGTTCTCTCTAAGGATAGGTAGAGAAAAAACAGAGGCGGGATGCGGCATGCAAACCCCGATGTCATAGGCGTGACTATGTACTGCATGGGTGGCAACGATTTGGATGTATGCCAACCCCCGAAGTCACCGCGATGCGGATGGTATCGGTGCTAACGATTCGGATGTGGGGAAGGTAAAAAAAAACATTGTACCGTGTTTTCTTCGTGAAATGGCAGAAACAACTGGCCGAGGGCAGTCCCGATTCGATAACCGCCGCTGTTAAAAGCAAGACGTTGGTGGAATTTCGTCGTTGAACGTCCCGACATAGGTCTACAGAGCGATGATTTTCTACAAACGGCAAACCCAAAAATAAAGTGCTCTACGCAGACGACGAGTATACATGGCGAGAGCCGTCGGCATTAACATACTCGAAAGAAATGGGGAGCACGGAGGCAACACTGAGGATGAAAAACATCGTAGAAGCCACAAACAGGCAACGAAAATGAAGTAAAAAAATGTAGCCCGACCAGACGAGGAAAAGGAGGACGCCGAAGAAGCGCCGTAGTAGACAAGAACGATGTTTCTCGTGCAAGAACCCCCAACGGTTCTAAAGAAACGGCAAGAAACACGGACGTGATGAGTGGATATGGCGAAAAGACTATTCGCACAAACCATGACTAATACACACGGAGGGGGCTAAATGCACACCAACCAGTTCGAGCAGACGAAAACAGGAGGCGAAAAAACAAAAACTACGGGTAGATGACGATAAAGTCGCCGTGGCCTTCTTAGGAGGGGAATCGAAGGGCTTAAATGTGATCTTTGTTGGCTTCCTTTGGATCTATCCAGCACAGACTTCCGGGCCTATTTTGTATCGGGGGCACGATGTCGGACGCTGGCGATGTCGGAGTCGAACTTCCGGAGTGACCACCCAGAACAAAAAAAACACTGTTCAGGTAGGTACACGGAGGGTGGGAGCACGAAGGAGCAGCGGTGGGACGTTTCTTCTTGGACAAGGTCCCCCAGCAACCCTTGTTTCTCATGTATTGGGGGTATCGCATCCGATCATGTTTCTTGTTGGGACGTTCCTTATGCTGTGGCCGAGATAAAGCTGTGTTTCATATTTTTCGCAAAAATAGAACCTTATTTTTGAACGGAATTTTTCCAAATTGTCCGTAGTGTAACGCAGAAACTGGTTCTCGCGCGACAGCAAGCGACAGCTGCTCAAACAACAATGAGAGGGCTGAAACCATCTCAGCTACACAGAATTAACTGCTGGCAGTTCTTCGAGGTTCGCAGTGTGGGTTGGTATCGGCTATTCAGACCCGATCGGTACAGGGGAGGGCTATGCAAATAAAAATGACACGGACAAGGGTGAATTTAGGTCGATAGAGACCCCAAGCTCTACTGAGCTTGGGAACAAGCCGGCAAAAAAGCAAGGGCGAAATACATCGTCATGCTGCATGCACTTATGCGCCAGGTACGCGAAAGACAATATTGGTGAAGGCTGACACGCCGTTCAAACTATGGCAACGTTCGTAAAGAATCCCTAAGCCAAAGGGAGCCACGTATCTAGCGCGTACGTCACGGGGTCACCCGTAGTGGACCCCTCACCAAACAACAACCTTTCAGAACGGTACGAGACCACAGATGCGGCAGTACTTCTAGTGCGACTCCTCGCTATACGCACGCCGCACATTGACCATGCCCTGCCGCGGGTGCTGGCCACAGAACTCCGCCTTCTTGCTACCGTATTTTCCAAAAGACGGAAACTTCGTGCACCCTGGATGGCCGCAGGTCTTCTTCACGACATTGACCATGCCCGGTTGCGCGTGCTGGGCACAGAATTCCGCCTTCTTGCTCCCGACTCTGCCATACGACGGCTGAGTCATGCACCCTGGATGACCGCACCTCTTCTTCACGACATTGACCATGCCCGGTTGAGAGTGCTGAGAGCAGAACTGCGCATTCCTGCTGCCGTCTTTGCCATATGAAGGCTGCTTGATGCACCCTGCATGGCCGCAGGCCTTCTTCGTGACGTTAGTCATCCCTGGCTTAGAGTGCTGAGCGCAGAACTCTGCCTTCTTGCTGCCGACTTTGCCATAGTGCGGCCGCGTTGTGCACCCTGGATGGCCGCACCGTTTGTTGAATACAGTGACCATGCTCTGATGCGCGTGTTGAGCGCAGAAGTACGGCTTCTTGCTGCCGACGCTACCATATGACGGGTATTTCATGCACCCTGGATGGCAGCACCTCTTGCTGACGACGTCAACCATACCCGGTTGAGCGTGCTTGGAGCAGAACTCCCGCTTCTTGCTGCCGTCTTTGCCATATGAAGGTAGCTTCATGCATTCTGGATGGCCGCACCTTCTACCACGGACATTGACCATGCCCTGTTGAGAGTGCTGAAAGCAGAACTGCGCATTCTTGCTGCCGTACTTGCCATATGAAGGCTGCTTGATGCACCCTGCATGGCCGCACCTTTTGCTGGCACGAACAAGAACCATGCCCTGTTGAGAGTGCTGAGAGCAGAACTGCGCATTCTTGCTGCCGTACTTGCCATATGAAGGCTGCTTGATGCACCCTTCATGGCCGCACCTCTTCTGATTGAGGTTTGTCATCCCTGGCTTAGAGTGCTGAGAGCAGAACTGCGCATTCTTCCTGTAGGCTTGGCCATACGATGGCTGTGTTGTACAGCCGCGCTCCTGGCAGTATCGTTGTCCCTGGTCATGACACCTGGCTTTCGTACGCCACGACTGTTGAAAAGCACGGTTCCAAACGCGATCGAGCAGAACCCACATTCCAGAGGTTACCATAGGTCAATATCTCAGCAACGATGCGAGCAACGTCGGGGAGCAGCGAGAGGCAATTCAATGAATACAGCACACCACCGCTCAAGGCTCTCCTATCCTCCATTCCAGATTGTTCAGAGTTCATCCTGTCCTTGTCCCGGGGTAGGGGCACCCGTCGATGTTCCACCACCAAACACCATGTGCCCTGAGCTTTTCGACACGTCCATGGTCTTCATTTTGCCACCTTATGGAAGACAGTTTCGCACTGTAACTAGTTGGTTGCCGCTCACGCGAAAATGCTGTCAACAAAGCCATCGACCGAACGTCTTTGTAGTCAGCCACTCTAAGTGTGCTGCGCAGTCGGTGCTCCAAGCGCGTTCTCCTCCTACAATACCTCCGACCTTTTGGTTTCTACAGTAACCGAAGGTTTCCGCCGCACATCAGAGAAACGGTCTTATGAGTTTGGGAGACCCTGCCTCCTATATTCAACTCCACCCAGAACACCCCTGTGTGACCTCTCGGCTACCAGCAGTGAAACAGCGCTTTACAAAGTCCGCGTGTATTCCCCTTGCCGTTTATCAAACACACTCAAAAACCAAACACTTCTAAAGTAGTTGTAGGGAAAGTCGGAACCAGATTCAATACACACGAGTGTAGACTCGCTAGAGCTGCAATGATGATTTCTTCTCAGCATCGAGGTTGCTGAAAGACTAGATAGAACTGTCGTCGGTGCCCGATTCCGACAGTTGTGAGCTACTGATAGGGTGCCCGGCAGAAATCATCCCGAACCGGTACCACCACCAGCTGTTCGGCAAGCAGGAGCGAGTGACGCGGCAAACCTGCACGAGCAAAGCACGCACTGGCCAACTGCGTAATCATATGACTTATTCGCGAAAAAACGCGAGAGGAATGAGCCTTCCACCTAACTCACCGTCGTGTGTATTGCCGCCGTCCCACCGCCCGTTGTTTCTGGTGGGGAGGTCTTCCCTTGTCGGCGGTTGGATGACGCTCTTGTGGGGCTGACAATCAAACACGAGTTATCGCCAGGCGTGAGGATACAAAACACCGGGGAGGGGATAGAACGACATGAGTTCATAGGAACAAATCCAATCGAGTTATAACGCCATGGGTCAGGACATTGGGCAAAGTCGCCCCTAATCTCCACTCACTTAAAAAAAGTGTAAACAGAACTGCCCGTGTACGTGATGGATTCAGTACAGGTCATCTTCTGTTGACCGCGATAATGCCAGTCGAGTAGAGCTCCCAGCTGCCACGAATAACGTCTGGAATGTACAGGAAGCAACCGAAGCTAGAGAGGGACGGTGACATGGTGGCGCCATCGAGAAATGATTTAACGATGTTGAGATTCCAGATACCCAGGGTTAGACCTGCCCCAGGGTGGACCATGGGTTAGACCGAAGCGTCGATGGTTACTTGTCCCCGCCGGGACAGAGAGGGACAGAGAGGGGGACAGAATGTCTACCAGCAGCTGGCGTTTGGGAAGGGGGAGATTGCCTTCGTTACAAGGTTAGCCCTTATCTTCTGAGGGGTGGGGGAGGGATTGACATTGGCCTACGGGAAACAAATAAGTAAACGACACAGCAGGGTCATCATGGTCGAACCTCGACTCCGCCGGGTACATGCTTGTAATCAGCGTGAAAGAAGACTAGCGTATCGGTCGACGCCCATTTCCCCCCTCGCTGTCATAAAAGCCCGGGGGTGTATCCCCTGCCGCGGCTAGTATTGTCTGCAACGGTAAACAAATTTCCCGAAATAATCCCATCTAATGTCTTCCCAGAAATCGTCTTCTGTTCCAAGGACATCAATACATGAATCTTCCAGCTCCAACCAAATGATGGCAAACGAAACTCGAGACACACTCCGTATGCGAACACAGCATGGATGACACGCCGACATAAGTATGGAGAGGAGTACTGGATAGATGCTGGCAAAGAGACAGAGAGAGAGAGGAGAGGCGCACAAGTACAAAACGCATCATCATCAAAAGGAACGTGTGAAAATGGCTGCGGTGGTCGACATATCCGTGACTACCTCGTCATGGCCGTGATAGTGCTCAAACGTTATAACCAAGCAACACGTGCAACAGAGATTACCATGCAGCTGGAACAATGGCCTCCTGGACCCAAGCAAGTGCACCGATGCGTTGTAGCGTGTGTGAAGCGACAGTGAAACGTGGCATACACTTGCGTGAATTTTGTGGTGTCTCTTACGTCAAATCCATGTACGATGATTCATTTTTTATGTATGTGCATCTCCAATCCCTCCCTCGGCCACCACACACTCATTACTCTTCTGGAATGCTGTGTGCATGGATCTGTCTCAGTCGACATGTCAATCACGTTGCGGTACACCAGGAGCGTGCGGCGGATTCCGGTTGCCATCATTTATGCGGAGCTAGAAGATAACAATCGTGTGTCGGGGGTCCTTGGTTGGAGCAGAAGTTGATTTCTGGGGAAGAAATGGCACATGGAAAGGTAATCTCGCGTCGTTTCTCGTCAGGGCAGGGAATAACTCAGACAGTCAGGGTACCATCGCAGACAAAAGTATCCGCGGCACGGCATATACCCCGGTCTTTTGTTGATTTATATGGCAGAGGGCAAGTGGGCGTCGACCAACAATCTAGGGGTTTTCACGCTGGCTAGTACCTGGCTTAGTCGCGATTGACTAGGGATACCCTGTGGTGTTATGTATTCTGAACAACACTCTTCAAAAAACCAGTGCGTGTCGTTGTGACTCAAGGACTACAAACTGCGCAACAAACGCGACACGTCGGTTTGCCTGTTTCTTGCAAGTGGTATCGGTCGTGGACTGTGTGGAAAATGTCAATTTTCGGGGGACGAAAATCCCTTCAGCTTCTCGATGAAATGCAAACGCTAGAGCGCTATCTACCCTGCGGGCTCCCATGACGGCGTGTGTGACACACACGGAGGAGTACCAGCACCACCATGCATACCCAAACCAACCCTGACGGCAACCCATACAGAGGAATACTGGGTTCTTACAGCAGCTACAGGTGCATACTGGGTTTGTGCAGCAGAGTCAGGCTTCGGTTGCGTTCGGTGAATGTGTGTGTGCTGTCAGGTAAGAACCTGCAAGTGTTGCGACATGCCATGGAGTGTGTTTTGCATCGTGTTCCGACGTGTCGGCAGCTTGTTGCCGCCTGAGAGAGATTCGCGGCTTCCATGTGATTTCATCTGACCGTACGTACTGTAGTCTCGACGCTGGACGGGTGTGGACCCCTGTGAACCCTTTACCTGGCTATGTATGCCGGTTAACGCGATGGTGTAATCGGCACCGCGGGGAGACCGTGCCAACGAGCGGGACCGCAGATATTGGGCAGAAGATCCCGGGATAACGATTGTTGCCACTTTCAAAATAAAGCCAAAAGAGAAACCCTCTAGGATCACAACTTCTCGCGGTTGATTCCCGCATCTCGTAATCCACACGAGGTTGATTCACGCAGCTCGTGCGGTAGCTACTCTCGAATAACTTTTATCTCGCATTCCTGATCTCACCTCTCTGTGTGGTTGGGTTGCCGGCTGCCCGCTGCTGTCCAGACGCTGTACCGGCAGAGGGCCTTGGCCATACTCCCGAGCTTGCGCTTGCCTGGCCTTGCCTGGAGCGAGTCATCCGAACACTGCACAGACTGAGTCCCGTTGATGCCGCAAGCACCATCTCCAAAATACGAGTCTGGGGCTTCACAGAGGATCGATTCAATCTTCATGAACATCGAGCAAACATCCAGTCGTCCGCAGTATCTGACCATGACAAAGGTTACTAACACGAGCTTGTAGGTGCCGAAACGGCAAAGAAGACACAAGCTTGGAATTTCAGATTGTCCCCAGAGAGACTAGCCCCAATGCATCCAAGCAAATGAGGGGGACCTTGTCATGACATGCATTGGCTTGAAAGGGATGGATTCACCCTGTGGACAACGTTGGCCATGATTGTGTCGAGAAGAGCGGTCACCTTCAACGCGGGTCTATCTGTCGATGTTGCAATCTATATTGGGGGTAGACCGTTGAGCAAACTTCACGCCCTCTCAACTGCTAGCAGTTTGGGGCGGTGGGTATCAAATGCGCCAATTCATAAAAACTACCTGTGACGTTCGCCTCACCCTCTCTTCTTGCCCACCCTCTTGCTCCTGCTCCTCCTCTTCCTCCTCCTCCTCCTCCTCCTCCTCCTCCTCCTCCTCCTCCTCCTCCTCCTCCTTCACCTGGATGTCATCTACACCATGAGTCGCCTGATAACGCCATCCAACACAACACAACACGATCATCGCTTTGGGTTTTAGAAAGAAAATCAAACAACGAATTGCCACATTTCTGCAAGCTGGCAGTCAGCGGAAACAGAACTTCTACCTCATGGTACAAATCGAGTCGCGAAAAGCCTCAAGACATGTAACCACTTTTCCGACTACGCGCTGCCTTCAACCGGGCTCGGCAGTTCATCGTTAGCAGCGGCACGCTAGGCTCACCTTGGCTGCCCCACCAAAATTCCTAACCTCGGTTTCCAAACCAGCAGGTGACATCGAGCCTGCGTACAACATGAAACGGATTGCAACAAGCAAGGCACCGTGGTTCCGAATGTGTGGAGGTATGGTAAAGAGGTCATGTAGGTGACACGACAGAACCAGTTGATTGCATGTAGCACAGGCTGTTATTCAGCACCATGGCCAGACACCGTCCTCAGAATATACCTCGGAAGTGTCGCAGAGGCGGGTGCACGGAAAAAGCAAAATCGATATTGAGGGGCGTGAAACTGCGGGAGGATGTCTGAGGGGCTATGTGCATGTGTGCAAGCGTTAAAAAGGCAGGAAACTGGAGCCTACTTCACCAACTAGGCACCAAACAATACTTGTGCCCGACTGGCAGCGATTTCCCCGCGCTGTAACAAGTGCTTGCCGACTCAACCCATGTTCAGTGCGTCGAGGTAGCAGGGCATGTATGCCGAACTTGTTGTCGGGAAGCATGCATTCCCTCGGAACAGAGAGAGGCGTGATTCTTAACCCAGCTTGCCGATGATGTCTATGTTATGTACCATCATATGTTTGAGGGAGAGACAGGGACGAATGAGGGGGTCGGGGCATGCCAGCGAAATATCGGCGAGAGGGTATGACCTATACTATAACACAGCAGTGCTCCTGTTACTAGATGGCAAATTCGATCGCCAACGTCGTATGCATATGTAAGGCGCTACCCTACAGAACGCTGCTGTGAGCAGAACAACACTACTGTACCACTGCTGTAGAAAACGCGGCTCCAACTCTGCTGCAGCCCGCCACTTCCAGGCAGTTACACAGGACTGCGACTCACCAGCAAGGGAGAGAGGAAGATGCGTTAGCGGGAGGACCCCGACTGCTCGTCCTCGATCTGCCGGAGACTACCTCACGGCAGTAGTATCACCGCGGTACAGCTAGCGTGTGTGAGACGGCTTGTTTCGCTGGTCTGTGAAGAGGGTACCTGGCTCGTGTGCTCGAGGAACTACGAATGTCACACCAATCGAACGATCAGAGAGCAAAAGCTCGCTCTTGCGGCGGCTTCGTTCTCCGTGTGAAGTGCTCTGGCACAGTTCCTCTCGACTGGGCTGCGGGGAAGGGGCAGAGGGAGAGATAGAGCTTCCTGGCAGGCCGGTCAAGGCAGACAGAGAAAGCCGGATTGTAAACGCCTTTTCTCATTTCTTGGATGCTGGCAGGACACAGTGCCTGGCGCGTCCGGTGGATCTCATGAGGAGGTGCGAGGCGCGCGCGCCACCTTGCCAACCCAAAGGCCCTAGTTGGAAGGAAACTCAGGCTTTGGCGATGGACTGATCGTTTGTCTGGGGAACTGCGGTACTGCTGTAGACTAACCTATTTTCTACGCCTGTGGACAACTTGACTCCCTCGAAAAGTATGGTGTCCACAAGCTTTCATCCAGTGGCCGAAAGACAGAGTCAAACACATTCCAACACATACCACAAGGCTCGGCAGAGCATATCGTGGAGACCTCTTTCCTTGTGCAAGGCCCAGAGCGATGGAGAGGTTACACTACATTTTATCCTTGTTCTACATATCGTAGGCAATGCAGCCTTCTGATGGTGGTGCCGTGCTTCTGCTTGGATCATGCAAGCCTGCCAAGCGATACCTCCTTTTTTTTGTCGTCTCGAGACTTTTCCCGCTCTCCCGCGCCCTGCCCTGCTGTAGAACTTCTGCTAGGGGATTGGTTTGAGCATCGGCACTCGCTGGTTGCGTCATTGTCTGTTTCATGTGTCAGGCGAGAAAGCATCATGCGAGAGCCCTCGCCCATTCGCTAAATAACCTACCCCTCTTTCTTGTAATGTTCTGTCTCATTTGAGGTGATTGTTGGATTTGAGTGAGGCCTCGTGCGCCGGTCGGTGGTCCCGCCGATCCGCCTGTGGGCCGCCGTATCCTATTCTTGCTGCATATGGTATTTGGAGGTAGTCATGCTGATGGTGCGTGACCATGGTCATTTAGCGTTGTCAGAAGTTGTGTTACGTCTACAGCATGGTTCAGGTTTTATTCGCAGCCAGGTTCCCTTCTGGTCAGTGTTGCGCTTGGTGTGGTTGTGTGAGATTCCGGCTGCATGGCGTGTACATGCAAGGCGCTACGAGAGCATGTCAAGGAGAACGAAGGATTGAAAGCAGCAGCAACTTGCATCTTGTCCCACACCCGGCCCCGACGGGGTTATTCCGTGAGGAGGTACAACTTGATGTGCAACTCCTCGACGAGTTTCATCGGCGTTGCCTGTCTGAAGCTTTCCTTGTTTTTGTTACGGGAAGCCGCAACTGTGCTCGAGCACGAACTCAGCAAAAACAAAGTGACTGAACAATGAAGGCGCCCAGACCGTGATGAAGACCCTGAAACAACTATGTATGGTGCCGACGATGACAAGGCCAAAGAACTAAATCCGAAGCAAACCTACGATGACAGGATACTACAATAAGAACTAAACGGGAAAGAATCGCACAAAAAAACGCCTCAAGCAGTTCTCTCTGATGGGCTGACAGGGGGAGACGGCCGGGGCGCAGGGACTCACGGAGGGCGCGGCACCATCGGTAGCAGTATCAGGGACTAGAGTGGTGACCCCCGGCGGCAGGGATTTCCCCCGCGGCGGTGGGGGGAGACGGCCGGGCCGCAGGCACTCGTGGCGGGAGCGGCAGCATCGGCAGCAGCACCGGCGGCGAGAGGAGGGACAACCGGCAGTCATGTGTTCCCCGCGACGCCGGCCGTCGGGACGGCCGGGGTGTAAGCACTCGCGGCTAGAGCGGTGCCATTGGTATCAGCACCGGCGGCGAGAGTGGTGACCCCCGGTGGCAGGGTTTTCCGCGGCGGCGGCGGCGGGGAAGACGGCCGGGCAGCAGGCTCTCATGGCGGGAGCGGCAGCATCGGCAGCAACACCGGCGACGAGAGGGGGATCACCGGCAGTCATGTGTTCCCCGCGACGCCGGCCGTCGGGACGGCCGGGGTGCAGGCACTCGCGCTAGAGCGGTACCATCGGTAGCAGAGCGGTACCATCGGTAGCAGCACCGGCGGCGAGAGTGGTGACCCCCGGCGGCAGGGATTTCCCCCGGCGGTGGCGGGGGGAGACGGCCGGGCCCCAGGCACTCGTGGCGGGAGCGGCAGCATCGGCAGCAGCACCGGTGGCGAGAAGAGGGACCACCGGCAATCATGTGTTCCCCGCGATGCAGGCCGTCGGGACGATCGGGGCGCAAGCACTCGCGGCTAGAGCGGTACCATCGGTATCAGCACCGGCGGCGAGAGTGGTGACCCCCGGCGGCAGAGTTTTCCCCGCGGCGGCGGCGGGGGAGACGGCCGGGCCGTAGACTCTCGTGGCGGGAGCGGCAGCATCGGCAGCAACACCGGCGGCGAGAGGGGGACCAGCAGTCATGTGTTCCCCGCGGCGGCGGACGGCCGGGACGCACGCACTCACGAACGGAGCAGCTGCACCACCGTTGATGGGAGCGGCAACGACAGGAACGGCGATGATACAAGGAGAGGTTACCGTGACGGTGGCGACGGAGGGTGGACCGTGCTACCGCACGACATGAGCCAACCCGGCAGACGGCGATCCGTCAGCAGCGGTACAAGGTGACGCCTGCGGTCACGCGGTCGGGGTCTCGTCGAACCGATATCGTGGCTGGGTATCGGCGCGTGTACGTCATTATCACGCTCGCGGGCTCGTGTAGAGAACGTTTCTGCGCAAGGGAGTTACTCAAGTTCCGCTCGAAAAAGAACAGTCCACCACCGGCACCGAGTGGACAAAAAATACCATTCTCCCCACGCCCCTGTGTAGTATATGCACTTCTTCTCTTCTGGCGAGTAAATCCTAATACAATGCCAAGTGCTTGCTGACTACGTACATACAACATCTGGTTACGCACGAACACAGCCAAATACTCCTAGACTAGACGAGATCACCCAAAACGCGCTCTGCTCATTGTTTGCATGCGAGCGGACCCCAGTCTAGCTTCTTCCCTCTCCCCCAAAAATGAGCGGGACAGGAGAGAGATTGACGGGAGGGGAGAGAGGCAGAGGACGTATAATCTGCGTTTGTTTCCTCCCGTCTGAACATGGAATAGAACTACTGTTGTTCTTGTAGTGAACGAGTGCATGGAGGGGGGGGGAAACCCGTCTGTAGGCCCGACCAGGTGAGTGGCAGGATGTGGCAAGGAACACCCCCCGAGCAACTAACCAAACAAACAAAGCGTTGTCTGCGGTGCACTTGGGCAGTTGACGGGGCTGGTTCTCCACACGCCTTGGCCGTCTAAGAAAGCATACTGGTGTGTTTGAGCTACTGCTGTAGGAAGGGTGTTGTAAGGATATATATATATATGTGAAAGGAGGGCGGCGACTTGCCTCGTGGGGGCTGCCACCTGTGCAAAGAAGGATAAATACCCGTTCATTACAAGTGAAAATGGATTTTTGGTGGTGGACGGGGGGACCCATAGGACCCCAACAAACTGTTAATAAAAGGAGCGGAGATGACCGAGAAGAACGAAAGCAGCTACAGCAGTAGCAAGGGCGCACAAAGTAAAGTGAAACGACACCTCGCCGCTACAGAGGTCGAAATAAGATAAAAATCGTGGTGTCGTAATTACGAGCAAAGTTCAAAAAAATGATTTTTTTCCAACTTTTTTTACTTGGTTTTAGTATACCCCCCCCCTCCCTCAGCGCCTTTGGAGGGAGGGTAGGTGTCGGGAATTTTTTTTCTTGTGCGCCCAGTTGGCAGTAGACGAAATGTAATACTTGGGAAGGAGGAGAGTTCGCGAATCCTATGTCACATATATATGTACAAACACACACATAGAGGACATTTTTTGCCGCCGTGAACTCCTTCTTATGTTGGCGAGCAATGTTCCTCGAGGCCATCTCATGTACTCTCGAAAAATCGGCAGCGGCAAGGGCGGCAATTGCAACCGAAAACAAATTTACTACGGAAGGAAGTATTCGAAGAGCCGGAAATGGGAGGGACGGAGAGAGGACAAAGGAGAGTTATGGGCGAAGGCCTATACTGTATGTAGTATGCGCACTTCCTCCGCGATAGAGGTGGCCCAACCAACTAACTGTACTCTGTTGTGACGACATGGAAAGCGTCCTCAGTTGATGTCTTGCGGGTCTCTCGCAGTTACGGCAAACACCGACAACATTATGAGCATGGATGGAGGGACCGGTAACAGTCAACTTGTCAACGAAAGAGGGACGGGTAGTAGCACAACTTGTCAACTTGTCAGCGTTCGACGTAGACCTGTGTAGCCGCGTAGATGCACACCACACCACCGAACCATGTACTGCAGCAAGGCCAGGGGCAGCGATCGCGGCAGTTGACATACGGCCCGGAAACCCTGCTTCACATGCGGTCCAGAAACACTGCAACCGCACTAAAAACGAGATAGACCACGCGCATGGAAGACCCACAACAAAAGGCCGGCATACTGTATAGACTATGCGATGTAGATATATTCCGAACATACATACATGCTAATGGACGAGAGCAACGATGATTGATTGTTGCTGTCCGTGCGGGTGTCCAACACTAACTGACAGAGAGACCGTATACCTCCGAGATGCCCGCTGTGGTGCATGAAAACAGCAGCCTGTGGGATACAAACCATCAAGCAAGGTGGCAAAGATGGAAAGCCCCGCTCCCTCGCAGGAAAAAAAAACATATGTATTGCACCCGGACGGACCCTCTTCGTCTGTTCAACCGACCCGTTCGGGGTGCGGCACAGACAAGGCCGACTTGTCGGCCACAGGAGGCGAAAGCTCCTCGCACTCGGGGGGGGGTGATGATCTGCGATTCCCCATCGAACCATACTCGAGACTCGGCGAGATTTGCATTGTAAATTAGCTCGAGATCAGCATTTCGGACCGGGTAGGGCAAGGGGTGGGGGGGTCGAATGAAACTTCCACGGATATTGGTCTGAGGAGCTGAAGCTAAAGCTTCAGAATCACGTCACAGTGCGAACTGGCGTTTGATCCGGCTAACAAGGGCTGACCTTATGTCCCAAATCGGTGTGTGTGTGTTTGCTACGCCATCAACAATGAAATCCGTTGGTGGAATATTGAGACTTTTACAGCATCCAACTTGACGTTGCAGTCAGTCTAACGGCCGTGTACGGAGCGAGGAGCTGAGCGAGCATGTGGCATCAACACGCGATAGCGTTGACCGGCAGCACATTGCCATCCATACAGTCCGCAAAGGACAACATGTTTCCAATTCCGCTCGACGCCAAAATGTTTCGATTGAAATCGAACTGAATCTTGGATCGAGACCTCTGCTGTGACCGCCACACCAAACGCAACACACTTCAAGGTGACAACAAACATGCGTATTTCTATTAGTCCGAGTAAGCAACACTCCCAGAAAAACATCTAAGAGGCGCTCCCGCCCCACGCAACGCGCTGGAAACATATCCAGGAGCGAACCATCTAGTCGTGGTACTCTAGCCGCTTGCCCATCTCCCCCCAAAACAGTCTTCTTCCAAGCATCGTCATCGTCGCAGTGACCGTTGGGTGGAGGACATAGCGTCAACCTACACAAGACCACTCGCTGTATGGCCAGTCAAGTGGCCGTGTGCATTACTCCCACCGGAAAAAAAGAAACTCCCCCCTCCTCCCCCCTCGCCGCCAGAGTTGATGAAAAACAATACGCTACAGGGCTGGGTTTGTGCCGGGTGCGGACATGCACGTGCGCCCGCGCCCAATGCATATCACGGGGGTTCAAAAATATAGAAACAAGTAGTCATGAAAACAACCAACATGTGTAAATACTGCCGTAGAACACTACTAATATATATCGCCATGCCGCTACACGTGCGTCCCAATCGAGGGCTCATCCATGTGTTCTATCGTGGATCTGTGCTGCCTCCCTCTCCCTGAGGCATCCCAATACCCAGGGGACCCCGCCGAATCAGACCCGGATGACCCCCCTCCTCCGCCGCCGCCTCCGCCCGCGGGAGACGACGGGGGGCGTCGTCTGGGAGAGGCGGACCCCCCCCTGCTGCTGGACATTTCGTTGCTGCGCCCCCCCCCGTCTCTGGTGGAAGAGGTGACAGAAGAGGAAGCTTTCCTCTCGAGGGACATGCGCATCAACTCCTGTTCCCGTGCCTCTCTGGCGAGCTCTGCCTGGATGTCCTGCATCGATCCTCCGAACAGCGGTTTCAGGAACCGGGAGTCCGCCTGATGGGTGACCGTTACACAAAAACAAATGCCCAAGAACAACAACAAAAAAAAGAGCGAATGACAAAAAGCGAGATGACCAACAACGAGTGGGACGTGAAACATTGCTGCTCGTGATTGCCTCGTCGAGAGCTATTTAAAGGCGCATGACGGCAGATGCTTCTATCTCTTTTTTGAGGAAAAGTCACAGCAGTTTTGGTCCGAAACACCTCGAAAATACCCCGAAAACACAGTTCTGGCACAGATTTGGTCTAAAGGACATCGAAAATACCCCGAAAACACAGTTCTGGCACAGATTTGGTCTAAAGGACATCGAAAGTACCCGGAAAACACAAAACTGCCCGTCGGGAGGGCCGAAATTCTTCCGCACGCACAACCTATCGTTCTCTGCGCTCTACAGAACCACCGCAGTTGTGGCCAGCAACCCCGATCAGAAAACACTCCATCAACCGGAGATCGTTGGAGTATCATGTTTTGAAACCGCTGACTATCATGTTTTTATTGTTGCCGCGCCAAGGTTTTGCAAAACAGCCAGCCAAGGGGTCCCCCGTTCGAGCGTCCGTGTGGCATGTTCCATGGTCCCACATGGGGGAGCAGCGGCGGGGCGTCATCAGGGGTTCATGTACACACGCGCGTGGTTCTTTCTTCGCGTACGTGAAACCATATTTGTTTCATGATTCTTCTAGGTGTTTCCGGCGTGCAGCCGCGGCAACACATACACCAACCGTGCACCAGTGGTATGCGTAAGGAGTAGATATTTGGAGAAACAAAAAAAAAACTCGCTTTGTCGGCGGGACGAAAAAGGGGGGGAGGAGGTCCGGGGATTGGCGTGAGGAATCTTTCGCCGCGCTGCATCTTGAAACCGTAAGTTTGGCAATCACGACAAAGAGGAAATAAGAAGACCTCTCAGATACGGACGATATAGCATGATAATCGCTGTCAACCATTTCCTGAAACAACGCACGCACACTCCGTGTTTGTATCTGGCAAGTCTTGTGCAGATCTTGTCTACACCGTGAGATACAGAATGCGCCACCACTAAAAAACCTCTTATTTCGGCCGCCGAGACTTGGTTCGTTTTTCGTCTATGGGGTACTGTATCCCCACCGCGACTATATAGGTTTTAGCGTGACTATACATGTTTTTAGAGCACCTGTCCTTTTGGCCAAGTTCTTAGATTTGGATTCTTCGAGGCGCAAATTCTTAACTCCTGATTGCTGGCGCGATGTATTCGGAATCGACAAGGAAAACCACTCCCTATAAAGGAAGCAAGCATATCCAGCTCTGCTAGGAAGATACCGACCGAGAACAAAAACGTCGCCACTTGGTGTTGGAAGAAAAAACTATTATTTTTGTTGCATGAAACCATAACGGATATTGTAAAACAAACGAAAAGGTTACGTTTACGCTGACGCTACGACTTCAGTGCTAATCTATCCCTGACTCTTCATCTGCGGATAGGAGATTAAACTCGTTCGGGTTTTTAGTCGGAAAAAAAAATACTCACGTGTCGCCAAAGGCTCTCCACGCCGCCCCCGACAGTCCGTGACACGCGTTTCCTGTGCTTGCGGAAACCCCTCAGGGCGGGGCTGCCGGGAGGTGTCCCCTCCCCCTCAACATCCGAGGCCAACAGCTGCTGGTACGTGGAATTCGCCGCTCCGGAGGCTCCCCCGCCACGCTGCCAATATAAACAAGAAAACGCGTGTAAATTCACTCAAATACAAAAGGACGGGTGGGGGTGCTGTTCCGACGGACCACTAGAGTCAAAACAAGCGTCGTTCGAGTCATGAACCGACAACAAACCTACTACAATGGGGGTAGGCGGGGGGAGGGGAGGGGGGGCTTGATCCTACGTGCCACGAGAGGCGGCTCTTTATCTCGAGCAACAAGACAACGGCAACACTTTGTCGCGAACCTGGGCACCAACACAGCGAGAACACACAAGTGTTCCCCTAGCCTTGGCACGCCAGGACACAACGATAACAATGCAGTCAAGGCGCAAACAACGGAATAGCAGCACAAGGGACTAAAAACCTAGAACACAAGAGTGATCAGAACCAAACAGACAACTAAGGCCCCAGCAAGGGAGCTACACAGCAACACCAGAGTATAACATCAACATCAAAACAAAACAAAACAAAGCAAAGCAAAGGGCGGCACAAAAAAAAAAAAAAAAAAACAGCTACTGCGCCAAAAAAAAAAACATCCACAGCCCCGCGCACACAGCAGCCCCACAACACACCTGAATCTTGACGTTCATGCGGTGCAGGAGGGGCTCCGTCAATCCCCCGCATCCGATGGTGGTGAAGATGACGACCATCAGGGTGGTGGACGCATAAACGTCCTTGCTCGCGCCCGGCATGCTCGTGGACAGGGCGTAAGCGATGGCGCCGCGGAGACCCGCGAACCACATCACCACCTGCATGTTGGCCGTGATCTTGCGTTGCCGCCTGTGAGGAGGGGGGGGGGGGGGGGGGGGGGGGGGAACAAACGTTCGGGTTACATTTCAAAAAT